TTATTGCTGTGACAAATACTTTATCAATACATGTAATGTGTGCTTTTTTTGTTGTATTTTGACAAACCTAAAAATATTGAAGGAAAAAACTTAACAGAATTTTTAACCCTTTCCTAATTCTTTTGCAAAACTAAACAAAAAAAGTTTAAACTGGAGTTGGGCTGTAAATGGCTTGCTGGAGCTTCCCTTTGAAACAAGATGTCCCATGTGTTTTACAGCAAGTTAGCGTAACACCACAGGTACAAATCCACAGTCATTGAAGAGTCTGATTTAATAATACTTTATATTTATTTACACGGAGCTATATATAAAAAGAGAAAAAAAATAAACACAATCCATCTGTGATCCTCATTGGTTGATGTATGCAGTGAGAAATCCCACAGAGTAATTGATTTAAAATTTCTACACAAGAAAATGACACGGGGTGTTCTGATTCACACAGAGCAGTTCTTGCAGCGGATGTGATGCCCCGCAGGTGGCAATGCAGAGTAAGCTGACCCCTCTTGGGCTTTGGACTCCCCATTAAGACTTCGATGCTTCAAACTCTGCAGATACTTCATAAAATTTCACATAAAATCTTTGAAGCAAAGAGGGGAAGGAAAGCTGATTGTGGCAGAGTCCAGCACTTCCGTGCATCAGGGACTGGGAGCAGACCTAAATATAAAGAGAAATATATGTTACATACTAAACAAGTGGAGGAATTAAAGTGCAATTCCGCTTTTGCAGCCAAATTGGGATAACACCTATGTTATATTTGTTACATTTGCCTAGAACAATTAAAAAAAAAAAAACAACTCTGCTTACATTTAATTAGTTTTCTGAAAACTCCAAAAGCTTTCCTCTAGTTTTCAGAGGGGGCTGGGGATTCATGTTTAATGTAATTAACCCTGTTTGTACTGTGCTGGCAGATTAATTTACACCCAATTTGAACACAATCTGTCCTAACAAAGGGTTAAAGATCTAGAAGATGGGCTGTATGGTAATGAGAGAAAACTCCATACGTCCCACTTTTGTCAGTGGGGACAGATTTGGATAGAATTTTGTTCAAAAGTTTGTACAGAAATCCAAAAAATAGTCACTGGTCAGAGCCTTAGAAAGTACCATTATGGACTCGACAAATTTCATATGTCAACCAGAAAATGTTTTTGTACAATTGCCATGCTAAGGTTCTATATTCGATTTCGGGATGCACATGTGGAATACAATAAAGCCACATTCAGTTAGAATTCATTTCCACCTTAATTCGATTTTCCTTGTCACGGAAAATGATTGCAAATTTGACCTCATTACCTACTGCAAAAATGAACGCACATGCTGAAATCATAATATGGACAGCTTAAGCTTCCTCATTTCAATTTGTTCAGTGAACCAATGTGCCTGACCAGGGCCTGCTCCAAAGAAACATCCAAAAGGTAGGTAGAAATATTTCATGAAAAACCTCCAAAGGAGGGGTAGGTGCTGCGTCTGTCAAATAACTCAGAGACAAGAATATTATAGTAAGTAACAGAAAAATTCAATTTCTCTTACATTCATTGATGGACACAGCTCTTCTGAATCTGGACCATAGGGATGTCCCAAAGCAGGGCCTCAACGAGGGGTGCACAAACCAGAAAAAAGAAAACTGGAGTAAAAAGGCAAACAGCCAAGAACCCAAAAAAAAACCCAAAAGGCGCAAACAAGAAACTCTAAACAGCAGCCGGCAAACTTGCGACCACAACAAACATCGGAAGACGCAAATACATCAAGTATGTAAAAATGTATACGTGTGCAGATGACCAGCAGCTCACAAAACTGAGACACAGATGCCAGACAGCACAAGAGGAACTTAATGGGACATGCTGCAATGGGGAACGCAGGAGTCCACACCATATAACAGTGTACACCCGGACACATACCTTGCTGGAAACAATGGGAAATCATTGTAGGAAAGGCCACCAAGCCTTTCCTGAGGCCATCAATGAGGCAGCAAAGGAGTACACAACCTCTGCAGGAGGCCAGAGTGGACTGGCACCATGAACCATCTAGTCCCCATCCAGGAAGTGCAACGCAACTACCTTAAGATGCAACGCCCACAGACAAAAGGAAGGCAGGACAACATCCTCATTCAGGCGAAAATCCAAGATCAAATTCATAGAAGGAAGGGGCACAGATGAAAAAAATACCAAAGTCTTGTGTAGAACCCAATACAAGGTAAGACCGCCAGCTCAGATACTCATCTTAGGTGCATCGGTGACCAAAAAGGCAACCTTTTGAGAAAGACAATGCAAGGAAATATCACTTAATACTCGCCAAAGGGAGTCTTCTGGAGAAACGAAGAATCAATGCTAGTCCCACAGTAGCAATAGGAGCACTTGGAGGCCCATTGACAAACCTCTTAAGTAAAAAGGAGCCAGCAGGAAGTGCACAGCCAAGGGACACTGAAAAACCGTGAAGGCAGAATCTCATTCCAAAAAAAAAAAAAAAAAAAAAAAAAAAAAAAAAAAGCACTCTATACAAGAAATTGTGCAAATCCATATGGAAAAAATAGGCCAACACCTGAGCCACCGAGAAAGGAGAAAGAGGCACTGCCAGGGAGCATCCGGGGTCAGCTGCCCACGATGCTTACCACAGACCAGTTGAACTACCAGAATGACAGGAAAGCCTTTGGCCTCTATCCTGCAATCCAGCTTAGCAGGTGAGGGAGCAGTTGAGAGTAGTAAAGGTGTAAATGAGATGATACTGGTCCTGTGAGGTGACCAGCACAGCTGTTGCTTCCGCAAAGGAGTCCCGCACTCGCGCCACAACCTGGGTAATTTGCAGGTGAAGTAGAGAAACAGAAAATCCATGACGGGTTCCCCAGCATATCCGAGGACACACATCTGGATGAAGGGACCATTCCCCCTGATCCAGGCCTGTATGACTGAGGTAATCCGCCTACCAACAAGAATAGTGCATAACTAGTGAGCACTTCTCGTACCATCCTGGTGGCTGATAAAGGCCACTACAGCAGCGTAGTCTGAACAGATCCTGACTGGTAACCCCTGAAAAAGGTTCGTCCAGTGCTGCAGAGACCTCCCAAACGCTCGCAGTTCCAGAACATTGCAGGGCAAGCGAGACTCCTCTGAAGTCCAACAGCCCTTTGCCGATCTCAATCTTGAGACTTTAGCTGGAAAGGCTGGCGTTCATCATGATGACCATCCAGCAGAGAAGAAAGGTCTTCCTGGATTATAGGACAGGAGCCAGAACCACCATAAGGAGGCCCTCGTCAACTGTTTAAGACGAATCTGTCCGTCTAGGGAGGCCGTAAATTTGGAGCGTTTGAACAGGATTTTCTTCTGCAGAACTCCGAGTGGAACTACACAAATGGGACCACCTCGAAGATGGACACCATAGGAACCAGAGCCTACATGCAAGATGGTTCGCAGATAACAGCAGTTGGACCACAGTCCAAACCTTCCAGTATGTGACCACCAGGATAACACTCTGCCCTGCTCAGTGTACAGAATTAGGCCCAAGTACTCCAGTCTTCTGGTCCGGACAGACTTCTTGAAGTTCAAGACCCATCCAAAGTCCTGCTGGGAGTGCACTATAATCTCCACGTTGACAGCTAGTGTGACCTGGAAGGCCGACTGCCAGAGCAGGTTGTCCAAATAACCCAGTACGGCAATCCCCCGTCATCTCAGTAACACTAAGACAGGAGCCAGAACCTTGGAGACCACCTGGGAAGGCAAGTCCATCCCGAAGCGGAGCCCCACAAAATTATAGTGTTCATCCCCCAACTGCAAGGCGTAGGAACCACCGATGTCCATGGCACAATGGAAAATGTGCAAATATACATCCTAGATATCCATGGATGCTAGCAAATACCCCCTAGAAAGCGAGGCCACCACCAAATGGATGGATTACAGCTTGAACCTATGAACTGGCATACAGTGATTCAAGGGCTTCAGGTCCAGGATAAGAGAACTTCCTCCATTTTGGGACCAAGAACAGAGTGAAGTAAAACTCAGAGCTGTTCTGGCTTGGTAAAGGGACAAATACGCCCTGGTGAAGCAGGGCCTGCACCACACTGCATTGAGCCCAAAGGTGCAATGGCAGGTAAAGAAGAATGGAGGGAAAAAATTTCCCAGGTGGAGAAGAGAATAAAGAAATTCTATTTCGTGGCCAGGCACAATCAGTTTGCAGACCTACTTGACAGGCCCAGAATGCATGAAGGTAAAAAACCTTAAGACTTTAGAACCACTAAGTTCTGCATTTACTAGTAGTAAATATGCAAAAGCCTTGTGCTATTTTTCCTGCATTGTTGAAGGATAAGTTCACCTTTTGGACAAAAATAATAAACGCACTTTTTTTTGCAGGTAAAAAAACGTGCATTTATTATTTTTGTCAAAAGGAGCCTGGAAAGCATTGCACCAGTGATCAGTAGATCGCTGATGCCATGCAGGTCTCCTGCAGACCTGTCAGTATACCTGCTTGCCGTACGGAATGTACGATCAAGTATATATTCTAACAAGACTCTTCAATGAACTACCACAACGCTCCGCAGCTACAAAAGAAAGGGCGAAGGCTGCCGGGACTTGTAGGCATTCATTCACAGAACTCTGTGAAAGAGTGACGTGGCTGTGTAGACAGCCCTGCACAGCCACGCTGATTTCAAATCTGATAAATGGTATAGGCAGAAGTTTCCCTGTACACAGAGAGGGAGCGGCAGCTATGGGAACAAGTTACCTGTTCCACCCTAAAAACGGGTGGAACATGTAACATGTTCCAAAAGTGAACTTATCCTTTAAAGCTGGACCCCCCGCAAATCATAAAACATGCGACTGACATTTTTTCAGAGCGTTGAGGGTTGGAGAAACGCCAATGTGTCTTCTGCTGCATTAGCCAAATCATTCACTTACAGAGATACAGTCCATCAAAACACCGCTATTCAAGTTAAACGTAGATCAAATCCTTTCTAGGTTTCTAATTATCTAAGTGACTTCAGCTGTCAGATCTCCATGCTGGTTTATCTGCCTCTCACCTAAGCTTAGACTGTAGTTGTCCGAAAGTCTGATCGTCGAGGTACCGTGAGAAGTGAAGCAGAGCAGTGACTGGAGAGCAGAGAGGCTGGGCCAGGGAGGTGGCTTGGATCTGCAGCAGGAAGTGAGCGACTTGTGCAACCAAAGGTGTCCTGAAAGACAAAGAACAGCAGGTATGAAAACTGTGCAAAGAGAACAATGCTTAGGCTGGAAATTCGTTAACAGGATTAGAGAATGTGAAAGCCTAAAATCAATTTACAAATACCCAGTGAAGTGAATGGCCTCAAGTGATACCCAGAGATTAAACAAAACCTCCCACGTACGTTGTATCTGTCTATCTGCAGTCTTCGCCTCTCTACATCCGTTCATAGTGCTGAATTTATAAAGCTTGTCTGAGAGTTAAAAAAAATTACACTCCGCAGAGCTCAGTGAGAAGAGCTCTGAGAGCTGATTGGAAGGAAGAAATACACCCCTTTCACACAAGAACAGAGCTGAGGCTGTCAATCTTCTGGAGCTCCCTCCCCTGTCACCAGTTTTCTCGGTGTCAAAAAAAACATGTAAGAAGTGAATCATGCTGATAGCAGAGTAACAGGTCAGCAGACAGAAATCACACTTAGTGCTTTTAATTGACACAAGTACACTACAGAGGGATATATTTTGTCCATATTTTGTGTCTGAGGTTTACAACCATTTTAAAAGCATGTACTGCTTATTGATGAAATGCTGTAAGGTTAGAACACAAATACTACCGTATTTTTCGCTCCATAAGACGCACTTTTTTCCCCCCAAAAAAAGTGGGGAAAATGTCAGTGCGTCTTATGGAGCGAATATGGAGCGGCCGGTCCGGTATTTCCACCGCCGTCGTGTCAGAATACCGGGCTGGCCGCTCAGCTCTGCAGCGGGACCTTATGGAGATGACTGCTGACCTTTGGGAGGTGGGGAGCGGGTACCTGAATTTGACAGGTACCCGCTCTTACTTCCGCGGAGTTGTTCATTGACCTTACCTGTTCCTCTATCCAGCGGCTCGCGCTGTCTTCCCGGATTCTGTAGTGTCTAGGTGCTGGGCTTGACAGCCGGGTGCCTGTGCATGCGCAAGAAGCGGTGCTTTTTGTGAATGGTAAGGCGGTACCTGGGACACATGACAGATCCCAGAAGCCGCCGGATCACAAAGTGCAAGCGCTTCTCGCTCATGCGCACTGGGCACCCGGCTGTCATGCCGAGCGCCGACACTACAGAAGCCGGGAAGACAGCGCGCGGCTTGATAGAGGAACAGGTAAGATCAAAGAACAACTCCGCGGAAGTAAGAGCGGGTACCTGTCAAATTCAGGTACCCACTCCCCCCCCTCCCCAAAGGTCAGCAGTCATCCCCTGTGCTGTCCACAGTCTCTGGTCATCCCCTGTGCTGTCCACAGTCTCTGGTCATCCCCTGTGCTGTCCACAGTCTCTGGTCATCCCCTGTGCTGTCCACAGTCTCTGGTCATCTTGTCCCCCTGTGCTGTCCACAGTCTCTGGTCATCCCCTGTGCTGTCCACAGTCTCTGGTCATCCCCTGTGCTGTCCACAGTCTCTGGTCATCCCCTGTGCTGTCCACAGTCTCTGGTCATCCCCCTGTGCTGTCCACAGTCTCTGGTCATCCCCTGTGCTGTCCACAGTCTCTGGTCATCCCCTGTGCTGTCCACAGTCTCTGGTCATCCCCTGTGCTGTCCACAGTCTCTGGTCATCCCCTGTGCTGTCCACAGTCTCTGGTCATCCCCTGTGCTGTCCACAGTCTCTGGTCATCCCCTGTGCTGTCCACAGTCTCTGGTCATCCCCTGTGCTGTCCACAGTCTCTGGTCATCCCCTGTGCTGTCCACAGTCTCTGGTCATCCCCTGTGCTGTCCACAGTCTCTGGTCATCCCCTGTGCTGTCCACAGTCTCTGGTCATCCCCTGTGCTGTCCACAGTCTCTGGTCATCCCCCCTGTGCTGTCCACAGTCTCTGGTCATCCCCTGTGCTGTCCACAGTCTCTGGTCATCCCCTGTGCTGTCCACAGTATCTGGTCAATCCCCTGTGCTGTCCACAGTAGTTCTGGTCATCCCCTGTGCTGTCCACAGTCTCTGGTCATCCCCTGTGCTGTCCACAGTCTCTGGTCATCCCCTGTGCTGTCCACAGTCTCTGGTCATCCCCTGTGCTGTCCACAGTCTCTGGTCATCCCCTGTGCTGTCCACAGTCTCTGGTCATCCCCTGTGCTGTCCACAGTCTCTGGTCATCCCCTGTGCTGTCCACAGTCTCTGGTCATCCCCTGTGCTGTCCACAGTCTCTGGTCATCCCCTGTGCTGTCCACAGTCTCTGGTCATCCCCTGTGCTGTCCACAGTCTCTGGTCATCCCCTGTGCTGTCCACAGTCTCTGGTCATCCCCTGTGCTGTCCACAGTCTCTGGTCATCCCCTGTGCTGTCCACAGTCTCTGGTCATCCCTGTGCTGTCCACAGTCTCTGGTCATCCCCTGTGCTGTCCACAGTCTCTGGTCATCCCCTGTGCTGTCCACAGTCTCTGGTCATCCCCTGTGCTGTCCACAGTCTCTGGTCATCCCCTGTGCTGTCCACAGTCTCTGGTCATCCCCTGTGCTGTCCACAGTCTCTGGTCATCCCCTGTGCTGTCCACAGTCTCTGGTCATCCCCTGTGCTGTCCACAGTCTCTGGTCATCCCCTGTGCTGTCCACAGTCTCTGGTCATCCCCTGTGCTGTCCACAGTCTCTGGTCATCCCCTGTGCTGTCCACAGTCTCTGGTCATCCCTGTGCTGTCCACAGTCTCTGGTCATCCCTGTGCTGTCCACAGTCTCTGGTCATCCCTGTGCTGTCCAGTCTCTGGTCATCCCCTGTGCTGTCCACAGTCTCTGGTCATCCCTGTGCTGTCCACAGTCTCTGGTCATCTCCTGCACTATGTCTGCAGTCCATTAGTTCAGAATTCTTTTTTCCTGTTTTCTGCCTCTAAAACCTAGGTGCGTCTTATGGTCAGGTGCGTCTTATGGAGCCAAAAATACGGTATATCTTTAAAGGATAAGTTCACCTTTTAGAAAAAAATAATAAAATGCACATTTTTTGCAGTTAAAAAAAATGTGCATTTATTATTTTTGACTACAGGAGCCTGGAAAGAATTGCACCAGCGATCAGTACCATGTAGGTCTCCTGCAGACCTGTCAGTACATCTGCTTGCCCGTACGAAATGTATGAGCAAGGAGATATACTGACAGGAAGAATGAATGAACTACCATGGCGCTCCACAGCTCCGTGGTAGTTCGTTAAGGACTACAAGCCGCTAAGCTGTCGGGACTTGTAGTCTCTCATTCACCAAAAACTGAATGAGTGATGTGGCCGTGTGGGTCCCACACGGCCACTTTTTTTAAAAATTTGACAGCTAGAGAGGGGGGGAGAAGATCCCCCGCTAGCTGTCAAAGCGGGGATTGGGGGCCAGTCTGATCGTAACATGTTACAACATGAATATGGGTGTAATATGTACCATGTTATGAAAGGTGAACTTATCTTTTAATCCAATGTGGCATAGAACACCAGGTGGGACACTGTCAAGTCTTCCACAATCTTCATGTGGTTGCTTGACACCGTGCACACTTCAGTAAAGCAGAGGAATGGCTGCACATCACTGTAACATTGCTTAAATGGTTTATTCCATCAAATATCATGAAAGACAGCACACCAAGGTAAAGGATACACAGTAGCTGTTCTGTCTTGAAATTTGATGGAATAAAATGATTAACTAGTTTCTTGGTGGTGTGCAGACATTCCTCTACTTTGCTACTATGTCTTTAATCAGAGTTTTATTTGGTCTATTCGAGTCAGTTTCGTAAGGCTTTCCACAAGGCCTCTGGACAGAATCAAAGCTTTAAACAATCTAATGCAGTGCAATCTTCATCAGATACAATGGGGGGGGTGCGGGGGTACTAGGCGGTGTGCCCCCTGCCCCGCTTCACACCACCCTCACAAACACGGTGTAGTGATCTCTACTCTGCCCCATAACAGTGTCCTCTGCTTCCCCATCCCCCAAAGCAGTGTCCTCTTCCCATCAGAATCTCCCCCCCCCCCCTCCACTGTAATTTCCTGTGTACCCCCCCCCCCCCCCGTGTGTGTCACGCAGAGTGTCTCCTCTGCGTGACACAGACACACACTAGCTGCCAGCATGTGTAGAGCAGAGAACAGATCAGAAGGCAGCACTGTGCAGGATGGAAGGCTGGAGTGGGAGCTGTCGGAGTTCATAATATCAGGCTGGCGATTGGTTGCTAGAACCGCCTAGCAACCAATCAATGAGCAGCTCCCGCCCCCACCCTCCATCCTGCACTATGCTGTCTCCTGCTCTCCGCTGCATGTAACATGAGAACGGCCGAGGCTGGGGGGAGGCTGAGATGCAGTCACAATCGATAGCTTGCCAACCCCCGCTCTAGGGGATAGAGGAAGAAGCTGTATTACTTAACTTACCCCCCACTCTTACAAGCTCTGGTACTTTCCTCCATTCCATACATGGGGTGGTCCCCTGGCTTCATCATGTACAACGCAAGACTATTAGTCCTGTATTGTGTCTGAAGGGTGTAAGCATGCAACACAGAGCAACTTAAAGATGAAGCTGCAAGGAATGGGTCGGAGAGATTGAGGGAGCAAGGAATAGGATATTACAGCTTAATCATCTACCCCTAGGCAAAGACAAGCATTTACCCCTTGCAGTGTAGGGGGCCATTGCAAAGGTATTTCTTTTCTTGTGCCCAGAGTTGTGCTTTAAAATTACAGTGACATCTACTGACACAGGGGCGGACTGACCATTTGGAAACTCGGGCACTGCCTTAGGGCCGGCGGTCAGCAGGGGGCCCCATGCTCCTGGTACCGTTTTCATAGGCTTTTTTGAGCAAGGACACAGGGGGCAAGGACACAGGGGGCCCATGATCCCCTATTGCCTGGGGGCCCCATGAGTTGTCAGTCCACCCCTGATGGACACTATCATAAAATGTATTAGCTCCAAGCAAAAAAGGTGGCCTTTTTTTCCTTTTAGTAGCAGACTTCAGGCTGCCAAGCAATTTAACAGCAGGATGGGAATCTCACCTTTTTACCTAGAGGCTATTGAAGGTGGGGAACCCCCTTTTTTACACAAAGAAAAGTCTCAGATAGTCCCACCCCAAAATCCAGTGCTCACACCACTGCTTTAAAACATACCAGAGTGACTGATTCAGTGTTGTGGAATTTTCAGAACTCAACAGCTCTTCAGCTCTCCCCAGAATCTGGCACACTAATGTCAGTCCAAACTACAGCATGAGGAAAGGAAGCAATCGGTTATATGTAAAATTAAGAATTCTATCAATTTTCACTTGGATATTCAAATAAGCTGCACAAAGTCATTACACTTTTACATTTTTTTAACAAAAGACATTTTGTTTAACAAAGCAGCTAGACTGATACAGTCCACTAAAAAGATAATTAATATGTTGTATCCCAAAAGGGTACCTCCACAAAAGCAATGACGTTTGGTTTTTTTTTTTGTATTTATGTAGTGTTGTCACAACAGAGTACACAGAGACTTTCACCCTAATCTCAGCTTCAGACAAGTCTGCAAACTGATGTCCCTTCCTCAATCATATAGATGTGCACAGGTCATTTTAGTCAGAGGAATGGACAATAGCAAAGCTCTGAGGACATGTTCCCTGGGCGTCCCAGCTTTCACTCTACCCAACTCTTGGAAGTCCACAGTTTTGTAGCAAGCAATGCAAAAATAAAAAAAAACAGAAGGGAGGAGAAGGAAGATAACATTTACAGATAAGTCAAAATTCCTTTTTATCTTAATCATACAGTATAGGACATAGGCTTGATATTCATAGACCCTGGGATGCCCCCAGACAGATCACACCAAGCAGGGTGATCTGTCCTAATATTGTGTAGACATGTATAGGTGGGGTGGGGGTTGTGGATGGTTTGGTGTTTGTGGGGCTGCATCCCATTGTTCTGTTGTTTGTCAGGCTTGGGAGCAAACTATTATGGGATGTATGTGTTTATGTGTATTGGCTTGGTGGGTGGGTGTCTCCAGTAGTCTACTGCTGTATCTCTTGTTACTAAATGTAGATTGCCCCACCCTGTATCATTATGCAGGGAGGGGGGATTGTCCCCTGAGTGTATATATCTTGTATCTGTGTTCAAATAAACTAGTCTACCTTCTGGCTTACTTCAAATCTGGTGTTGTCTAGATCTTGGGGTAGCAATAGCCAGATTCACTGGTCTCGTGTTCCAGAGCCTGAGAAGCAGCTTCTTGACAGAGATAGCCAGTCGTGGGTTTCTGGGGTTTGTTACATTTATATTGAGGTAGAAAGCTGACACCACCTTAGGAAGACAGGAGGATCATGGGCACATGACTTTGTGGGAAGACTGAGAAATGACTCTTTACGAGAGAGCTATTAACTCAGAGACATGTCTGACAGACGTCATGGCCACCAAGGCAGCTACCTTGCAGGAGAGATCATTTAAGGGGAGTTCCCTGATGGTTTCTGCAGGGCATAGAGAACCAAATGAGGGTCCCAGAGAAGCACAGGATGCTGCAAGTGCTGTCTGCTCTGAGAAACACTTTGAATAAAAGGTCTTTACAAGAGAAAGCAAAGCTAGAGTTTTTTGGAAAATAATGGCAAGGCCAAAACCTGTCCCTTAAGTGTACCTATGGCCAAGTTCCAGCAAAGTCTTGATTGTAGGAATGCCAGAAAGTTAGGCACAGAATAATCTCTGGGATTAAAGTTCTTTGCACCAGGCAAAGAAGGATTTCCAAGTACGATAGTAAATCTTTCTGGAAGTGGATTTCCTTGGTTATAGCAATGTGGGGATGACGTAGGCTTCAACAGCCATGCCATTAAAGCCAGTGACTATAAAAGAATGGAGCAGCGATAGGAGGACTGACTAGTTTGAAAGCAGCCAGTGGTTATCTCTTAGAAGGCAGCATAAGTTGTGTACCAGGTTCTTCTGGAACAGCTTGGCGTACTAAGAATCACCGGTTTCTTCTCTTGCTATATTTTGCAGAGCAGTCGAGGCAGAACTTCCATTGCAGTATAGGCATAGATTAGTCTGAAGGAATAAAAAAAAAAAAAAAAAAAAAACACTAGCCTAGTGCAACACCTTCTAACACTATTAGATTAGTTCTGAGGAATATTCCGCACCTACATCTGCTGTATGTGTTGAAGAGGTAATTTTAATGTGCATTCAGTCTTTGTGGTTGTGAAAAGACTCTATACCTAAGATTTGAGAATATACCTGTGATTGTAAATATTTGGTGAGCATTTTAAACACACTTTTTATTCTTAATGTATGGTGCTAGAAGGTGTTGCACCTTCTGCTGTATGTGTTGAAGAGGTCATTTTAATGTGCACTCAGTCTTTGTGGTTGTGAAAAGACTCTATACCTAAGATTTGAGAATATACCTGTGATTGTAACTATTTGGTGAGCATTTTAAACACACTTTTTATTCTTAATGTATGGTGCTAGAAGGTGTTGCACTGGGCCAGTGCACTCTTTTTGCTCTTTCTTCCTTCAGCATTGAAGACAACCTTCAGTACTGAAGACAACCCCGGTAAGAAGAGAGCTGCAAGGCCTTGCATGATTACTATACACCATAAATATTGGACAGTATTAAAAAGGAGGAAAAGCTCTTCACTCTGGTGTCTCATATCGGTTTTCCCAAATACTTGAGCACTGACATTGTCTATATTTCATAGACTAGCCTAAACTGGGTGCAGGCAAAAATCAGTGCTGGAAGATTCCTGGTCACAAACGGATAACTTGTTGAACATGAAGGCCAGGATATCCACTTCCGGGGCCCCCCCATCTCCTGCAAATTAGGCTGAAGATGTCAGGGTGAATGGCCCTTGCCCTTCATCCAGGCAGTGATGAAGACAATCCATCTCCCAACTGTTCACTCCTGTACGTGGACATCAGAAATCGCAGGACAGTGCTTTCTCTATGAGATGATCAGGCTCTAGTGGTGCAGAGCCATTTCTATTGCTGTGAGCTCCAAGATGTTGATGGGGACCTTCCTCAGATGACAATGTTGCGGTCATAGGAATATCAGCAGTCACAGTTTTTCTTCCCCAGAAGAAGCCCCAAATGGGAAAACATGTTGGGAATATACATCTTTACACTGCTGTGATATTAAGAACACATGAGATCATGCTATGAGTGTATATGATTTTAACATTGAATACTTTTTAACTATGATTGCATAAACTGTGAACTTTACCATTTGCAATTCTATAAAATGTATAAATGTGCATACTGAGCACTTTAAAGTCCCAACAAACTGTTCTCAAGCCTTCATTTCAAGAGATGTGGTGCAATAAGGGTACAGTCACTCACCCACATTATTGATCAACTTTTACATGACAACAAAATGTTGAATTGGGGAGGCCCTGGACATAAGTGAGCAAATGGAACAGCCCCACAAAGAATATCTGACGGGGATGTTTCAATGATCTTAAAGCGGTTGTAAAGACCGAAGGTTAATTACCTTCATTCATTCTTCATGCAAAAGGTAAGTAAGGCAAGTATAGACATGTTTATCATTTTAAAAAAAAAAAGTGAAGCTTTAGATTCGCTTTACGGTCTGAGCGTAATAACTTGAGAGAGACTAGTTTGTTTTCTGGAAGAAAGATTTTTTGCTTGGGCTGCGGCCAAAGGGAAGATTGGAGAATGGATTTTAGGAAGTTGATGACTCAATCCAAAGCCTGAAGTATCCGAATCGTCCCGAGGATGTGTGCAGATAGCTGAAAGGGAGAGGAATCCTTCAGAAAGAGGTCATCTAGATACTCTTCATGCCCTGAGTTTCTAGGAGGACAAATAGGGGTGCAAGTTTACTGAGTGTAAATACTCTTGAGAGCAGAAGATAGGCTAAAGGGCAGTGCGAAAAACTGGAAATGTTTGTCTCCTACTGCGAAGTTCAGAATGTGCTGATAAGGTGGCTAAATGAGAATATGCAGATAGGCAACTAGGATTTCTACGAACGGTATGTATTCCCTTTGTCTGAGAGGGGCAATAACTGATTTAGCAAATTCCATGTGAAATGTGTGAAAGCAAAGATACTTCTATAGGGATTTTAGGTCCAGTATAACCCTATTGGGCTTTGGTACAGTGCACAAGTTTGAATGGAATCCTTTTGTACCTGTCCTCCAGAGGCACTGGGACAAAAGATGGTTCAGGGCATTCTGCAGACCTGACTGTCCTTGAGCAGATCTTAGCTGGTTTAAGAGAAGAATATGGTGAGCAGGCAGAGTTTGGAACTCAATGTAATAATTTGAAACCACTGAATGAACCCACAGGTCTGTAATGTCTGACACAGAGAACAGCAAATTATAACAGATGACCACCTGTTCTTAGAAGTGAATACATCCCTTTGAGGGCTTTGGGGAAGATTGGTGAATTTTGTGTTCCAAGTCTTGCCCCAAAATGAGGGGCTAAATTTTGGTTTAGAAGTTGAAGCTTGGGTACAGCATTGAGGTGCTTTGTGTTTTAAGGAAGTAAAAGCTCCTGAGAAAGGAGATTTTGCAACATCCTGAGACAACTTTGATAAATTTGTCAAGTATCTCAACAAAGAGATGTCCTCCTTCAAAGGACAAACGTGTGAAGTGTCCATTACAGGCAGCTCCAGCTGACCAGGCTTTGAGTCACAAGATTTTGCGCATGTGAACAGAAATCAGAGCCATTCTTGAAATGTGTGTTATTACTTGTTCTACGGCATCCATACAAAATAGCAAATTTGAGGTTAATTGCTGTAATTGCTCAGTCAATGTAAAGTCCTGGAATACAGGATTGTATTTGCAGATAATTGAACTAATTCAATGAACAGCAGTTTAACAAATATAAATTGCAGCAATAACTGGTTACAGAGGTGAGCCTGCAAGTGTAAAGAGGGCCTTTAAAAGCATCTCAAATTTTGTCAGACAAATTTTTGAAAAAGGAAACCTCTTTCTTGAACAGATCACATAGGTTCAGGGAAAAAAAAAAAAAAAGCAAACCTAGTTCAACAAATAGAAAAAATAAATAGAAAACCAATAGAAATAAAAAATAGGTGCATTAGGATATAAAAAAAAAAAAAGTGTACCAGCCACACTCCAAACTTAGTTTAGAAATCATGAAACAGGTTCCTGTAATCGTTCTGGCACAGGAAACAATGATACCTTAATCTAGAAGACTACCTAGGGCTGCCTTGAGATCTGTGCTGTGACAGAGGGTTGGACGTGATGAACCAAGGACGGGGCGGGAAACAAAACTTTAGTATGTATCCTCTGAAAACCAACTCCTGCAAAGGCTACCAGGAAAATGGGGGCACCCCTTCATGCTAAAGATGATTTATGTAAGGAATTAGCGGACTTGGAGTTCAAGGCCTTATGAGTGGGCTAGGAGCCAGTCTTGGATATTGACTTAGCAGATGCAATAAAAAAGTGAAATGACTCCTCTTCACCTCCAGTGAGGGATGAGCTTTTCCAGTGCCACAACCTGTCAGTTTCCTCTCCTCCTCTCCCCTTGCCCATTTACAGAACACCTTGTATTCTGTGAACTGAAGAGAAGGCATTTGTGAATAAAAAAGGGGAGAAGGGTGGGAAAATATCAACTTTGATTCATTGTTGCAGCTGGAAGTTCGGTGCTGACAGTAATATTGGGCAAACTAATGAATGTATTACACAGTAAAAGGAGGACCTGTAAACTTTTTTTATACCATTACAAGAGGTACCTTTTTTTGTTTTAAGAATTTAGATAAATCTGTGGCTGAAGTTCTGGCTTTGAGACTTCCAGTGTCTCTCCAATAGATGAGAAAGAAAACAAAATTAGTGAACAGCTGGGAAGGGAGTGGGTGGCAGGGAAGTTTGTGTTTTTCTGAGATAGACCTCCACTGTCATCACAAACTCAGCCACTCACCTTGTTCTGTAAAACAGATAACAACTGCTGCTGGGGGGAAGCAATTCCAGAGCCACACACACTCTGTAAAAGGGAAGTGAGAGCAAGAGCAGACAGTTGGCTAATCACATGGGCACAGGAGCTGACCAGACAGGGAAGTATCTGCAGGGACAAAACAAAGTTTAACGAGTATACCCTACAGTGAGAGAAAATAGACAGCTGCAGGTTTTTCTATACTCATTACCTGATCTTGATAATCCTTCTTGATAAGGAAAGGCAAGCTGTGCGCAGTGGTGGACAGTAAAGCTACACTTAGCTGAAGAGGCAACAAGCGGATGATCCGAGACACCAGTCGCTTCCCCTTTCTAATACACATGATCTGGACAAACTGCTCCTCGGCTGCTCTGTGGGCAAAAAGAAACCAGCTGTCATTCGGCGTGAAGGGCTCAACAGTTTTTGAACCCCCCACAACAACTGCTCAAACATTACTTTTCACAGGGAAACTTTCTGGCCAAGAAAATAAATCCCCTTCAAAGCAACTATATACATTGGAAAGATTTGGCAAAATGTTTTTTGCCCATCATTAGCTGCTTCTGCAATGTATCTTTCAATATGCTATTTGTTTTGGATAGAGTAGAGAGGAATTCGAACATCTGCCAGGTTTTTTTATTGCTATCTGCACCCAGATCAGAGAGATTCACCATTCCGATTTGTAATTTTTACAGTTTTCACTGAAAATGAAAAAAAAAAAAAAAATCCCAAATTTTGGGTTGTCCACAGAACAGTAATAAGGGAAAAATCTCCCAATGGAGACACTAGTTCTGTTGCCCTAAGAGACAACCATGGATTTCCTCTCACTCCAGGTTTAAGATAAGGGACAAGAATTAAGGGAAATCTCCTTAATGGAACACATGGCAAAAAAAAAAAAAAATAATTGGCCATGGGTATAACCATCCTTTGCTCTATCCAAAACGAAAAAAAAAAAAAAAAAACTTTGCCTTTAGTTCCACCCTTAAGAGGTTAGAATAAAATTTTTGTAATGGTTCTCCAACAGGAACCAATAACACAGTGATCCAAAAGAATAGCTAGGGCTGCCTTGAGATCTGCTAATCTGTGTTGACACAGTAGAGTTGGACGAGATGGAGGGGATGTATTCCCTGGAAACCAACTCCTGGACCCAAGCATCAGGGACAAAAGCTGTGAAAGTGTCTGCAAAGGCTACCGGGAAAGTGGTGGCGCACCTTTATGCTGAAGAAAAATTTATCTAAGGAATTAGTGGACTTTGAGCTCTCAGCCTTGGCTTTGGACTTGGCAGATGCAAGAAAGGAGTAAGTGATCTAGAGGGAAGGCGTTTTAGGGGATAAGAAAAGGGTGGGTAAGCAATAGCTTTGCTTCAATATTGCAGGAGAAAGTTTGGCACTGACAGTAATATGTGACAAACTAATGAATAGCTTATAGAGTAAACAGAGGGACTTGTAAACCTTTTCTATCCCATTACAAGAGGTAACTCTCCACTTTAGGTGAAAAGTGGCAAAAAAGGTTTAAAAAAAAAAAATGTAAAAAGCACCTCAAGCACACACATACAATGCAAATGCATGTGTATGCAAACAATTGCCCAACACATACTAGACATTGCTGCACACGCCAGAGTAGGAGAAACAATTCTAGGTCCCTTATTTACAGTTTAGGGTTGACATGTATGGTATCTACTCGACATGACTTCATCTTAAATTTTGTACAAAGAAATGGTGATTACATCATGTTTGTGTGCACTAAAATGCATTTTAGTGCATTTTTCTAATGAAAATATAGATCTGAAGAGCAAATATAATGCAAACAAAAAATTACAGCTACCATTTTTTTTTCTACATGACCTATGTGTTCACAAAATATACCATGTTCAAGGGTTTTAAGCAGTTTTATAGCACAAAACGCAGATTCTAATAAGTAGGCAAATAATAAAAGTTGCTCAAAAGGGGGGGGGGGGGGGAAGTACTTAAGCTATAACGTGGGCAGCTGGAAGCTTACACAAACCAGATGAATGGAGGCGCAAGGAAAAAGGTGCAGAAGTGGTGTTGGGGGGAATTAAAGTGATTCTGTTGCTTTTTCTCTCTATGTGCAAAGCAAAGGTTTACATTAAACTGAAGGGAAGATATGGACTTTTGTCATCCTAGCAAACTCAACCTCTATTACTAGGAACCTTGTTTTAATTGAACAGGGTGATTGTTTTCTACTTGTTTTACAATAGCACTGAGGTTAGCCTGTAATGGAGGAAACAGAACTGAAAAAAAGGGAGAAAAGTCCCAAGCACAAAAATTGCCATTGCAGATTTACCCAAGATATATGATTGTTTTGTTACTAATAAATTTCTGGCTGGTCTCACCGCTCAATTCCTTCCTTCCCCTGTAAGATGTCACAGAGCTGCTGCAGCTTGTGCCTGCGTTCCTCAGTCAGCACCTCTCTCTCCTCTTCTTCACAGCACAATGAAAAACGTCGCTCAAAGTCTTCCAACTCCAACAAGACAGAGAAAGCCTGCAACATACACAAAAGTCATCTAAACCATCACATCATGGATAGTCAAGACATTTGCAGCTCCATTGGCTGATGTATTCTAATCCTGTAGCTTCACTAAAAAAACCTAAGATTCTCTATAACCAGTTTATTTATGGGAAGGGACACCAGTCTGCCAAAGTAAAACCAGTATGTCTTCTGGTTTACAAAGGGACATGGCTTCAGTTTTGTTACTACAGAGTCAATACAAAGCATTTTCCAAGAAAATGCCTAAGTGCCGGTTCACATTTATGCAGACTGGATGACGTTTGAACAGTATCCAATCAGCATGACATGTGAAATAACATTGCTGACTAATTATATAGCTTACACTTTTTAGCCAAAAAAAAATTAGATCTTTAGACTTCAATATATTGGCGTGGCAATCCAATTGCTCATTTCCTTCTCAAGGTATGGATTGGCAAGTCAGTATGCATTCAAACTGCTGCTGGTCTCTTGGGAAATCAGTAACATAGGTATGGTCACACTCAAGCATAGACGTCTAACTACTAAATGTAGACCCACTTCCAAGAGAACAACTTAACTCTTTCTGCATGGATCTGAATATTCAGCTTTAGGTTGATCTAACTGTGCAGGCTTACTTATGAAAAATATGCTCCCTTACTTAACTTTATTTAAATGCATCTGATACTTTGGCTTGTGTCAGAGGTCACTCAGATTACTGATAGCAACTGCCTGACTGCACACGATAATACAGGTTTCGAATGTACAGTGTGTGGTCATACAGCTGGATACATTAAAATTTAAGGCAAATAGGTCAATATTAATAATAAACTGAAAAATTGCAGCGCTAATAAAAAAAATTATAGAGTCTCTTACTCAGTCTGAGTCCCCGTTATATGGTGCTTACTGACCGGTGTTATTGGGGATTTTTCTTAACGGAACCATTATCCTCATCTGGGATACTGTATCCATTGGGAATTATTCGCCACAACTATTCCTCATTACATTGCGCATACCGACCACTGTATATTGCCAAAGTGTCCGGTAAGGGGCCATTTTTTTCCAGGTGTATGGTGATGTATTAGATCAAGACCATTCTCCTTTATCTTGTCTTATTGCTTGAGGACTTATAAAGACTTTAATTTGGACTTTATAATTTTTTGATTAGCACTGCAATTTTTCAGTTTATTATTTGTGTTATTGCCTTCATTTGTCAGCTGCTTTTTGTTTATATTTATTTTTTGTTTTGTTGCTTTTCAATTCAAGCGCAGTTATTTCTTTTTTCTATTCTGATCAGTATGAACGATGAATTTATAAAATGTACCTTCTCAATTACTACTAAGGTCTGCCGTCTCTTGTCTCTCACTTGTTTCTCCCGGGTTTCCTGTCAAGTGAGCAGAATAGGCATCAGAAGCCAAGATGTAGACATATAAGCAACACCGTCTTAGCCAGGTTAGTGTGATTACCTCTTCATCAGAACGATGTGTAGCTACGGCATCAATCATCTTCCGAGGGTTGTTCACGCTAGAGACGGTCAGCTTCCCAAGAGAGCCTTCAAACTGTACTGTGAGTGAAAAGGCAAGTTAAAAGTGGGCATTCACAAACAGAAGCCTGTGGCAACTAATGGTATCCATGGATGGCTAGAAAGAAACAACTGTATCCTCCTCAAATCTAGAGTGTCATAGCTTACAGGAGCAGTAACTTTAAAGCCCAAATCCAAGTTTTAAAAAGTATAAAAAAAAATAATTAGCCCAGAATGTTAAAAAAAAAAAAAAAAAAAAAAAAAAAAATACAACTTTACTGCAATACTCACCTTCTTGCTGCTATCACTCTCAGGCACTCCACTATGTTATGCAGCTCTAGACTACTTTATGGATGTACGATGCCCAGAATCATTAATCTCTTGCTACCGGCAGTACGCAAATATGCAGCCTCCCGGCAGGTGGGCCTTGCGCAGGGAGGAAACATTTGTGTACCAGATGTAAACAAGAACATGCCAAGAGCGTGTGCCCTGCACGCTCCCAGCACCTATCAGAAAGCTCCCGATCACTACTTGCGATTGGAAGCTTTACAGTCATGTGACTGATGTGACAGCCAATCACGGCAGGCACAAAATCATAAATCCCAACCCCACTTGCCTCCCGCAAAACCTCTTAAAGGGTCGGGAGGCCTGCGAGTCCAGGCCATCATGTACCTACTCCCTTGGGGGTGCCTCATCACAGTGGCCTGAGCTCTTACATCAATAAATCAGAAAAAGAACCACACACTTCCGACAAGAGGAAAGACCTGGGAAAATCACCCGGCAGACAATTGGAATTAAGGTAGCCATACTTTTTTTTTTTTTTTGTATGTATGGAGTGTATGGCTTTCCACTAGAAAGCTGCCAGCTTGACACATGTAAGCAGATTCCCAGCTGCTACAGTGCAGACGTGTTTCGGGTTCACAAAATTTCCTACTAAAAATTTCTGAATCGAAAGCAATGAAGTACAAAGTACCTCATTATACTCTACAATCCAAAAATTGGTCTAAACTGGAGGTTTCCTTTCATTATCATAAGGAAGCAGATAAAACTGGTTTGTGTGACTTTTCAGATGCTGACATTACTGTTCAGCTAAAATAACAGCCCTCGGACAGAAAAAAAGGAACAGCCTAATGCAGAGATTAGAAAATAAATGCAGTATAGCATTTCTATAAATGTAATAAAATAACGCCATGTGTAGTGAAGACCCAGGCTGCAAGCTCCAGGACTTTAAAACACTGGGAGTATATTAGTTGCCATGGAAGGGGCAGAATTAGCTTTCTTACCTGGCTTGTAGGTGTGCTCCAGTTTGGCCACTTGTGGTGTGATCAGCTTCGTCCTCTCTTTTTTTAGGGCCCTCACTCAGACTGTCTTGGCTGGCAGACAGCTTATCTAACTTCTCAAAGTAATTCTGGAGTTTGTGACAAAATTAACAACTGGTTAATATTATGGCAAAACACCAGGAAACCCCTCCTATGTCATATGTTACAGCTTAATCCAAATGGGTACATTTCCTTACACCACTTTTATATAAAGGACGGCTAATCACCAATATTGCCTGTAAACTCCTTGCAGGTGATCTTTTCACCATTACCGACTTACTATCCATTGCTCTACATGGTGAAAAGGCAGCCATCCTGGTAGAATTAGGGGTATGCTAACTCACATCACAACAGTCCCCCCCCCCCCCCCTCCCCCGGGCGATCTGGTGGGATAGTGATCAAGAAGCAGTAGACTAGGTGTGAGATTTACAGATCCCCCCTGCATGGATAAAGAAGAAGCTGGGAGATCCTTAAACTGCAGCTGCTCAGTCACAACTTCCTCTCCAGCAAACAGAACACTGGGTAGCACAGTGCTGACATCCCCAAACTTCACTCCAAGTCTAATGAGATTAGGAGTCCAAGCATGGTATCTTAGATGTCATCAAAATCCCAATATACAGCTAGGAAAGTCTCAAGGCACAGAATGCGTACTGCTGTTTTCCAGGAAGACCACAAAAAAAGGTAAATGTTCAGGGTACCGCTTAAAGTTGAACTTTAGGCTAAGTAATTAAAATGGACAGGAAGAAGGGTCAGCCGCACACCGGAGGATAGATGAATATAGTGTGTATTTATTGATCCATAGGACACTGGTTATGATTAAGCACGAGATCGTGTGAAACGCGTTAACAGGTCCTGTATTCATGTCGTGGTGTTTTGTGTGTCCTATGGATCAATAAATACACACTATATTCATCTATCCTCCAGTGTGCGGCTGACCCTACTTCCTATCGCATGGTGTGTGGTGGCAAGCCAGAGCCTGAACCTGTTGTGGATTGATCTGGATTGTTTGCCTGAGTGGTAAACCTTTGTTCATTGAATTAAAATGGACAGGCAGGCTTTTTAATGCAGAAAAGACATGCTTTGTCTCTTCTGCATTTAAACTACTTACCTGTCTGTCTGCCCTTATACAGTGACCCATGCATGCACAGCTCACTGAACAAATTCGGCAATGCCGAATCTGACTGAACTAACGTGTATGTGCAGCCAGCGATCGAGTCCCAGAAGCTGGCCACCCGAAGATATCTGAAGTGACCAGGCTGGGAGCTCGAAGACGCTGCATCGCTGGGGCTGAGGCAAGTATTGTTCTGCTTTAAGTAAAATTATCATTTTAGACGTTCCCTAAAAAGAGTGTACATTTTAACTTTTTGAGTTCAGGTCTACTTTAATACCTTGCAAGAAGGTTATACCAAACACCTCAATCCTAGCCTGTGTAGTCAACCTAAAATTGTGGCCACTGTCTCAGCTTTGGTTATTCTCTACCCCACACCAGACCCTGCCATCTTGCCTTAGGTTCCAGTTTGTGACTGGATAAACTGTAGCTAACAGTATTTGAGATCTGAGCAAAAAAAAAAAAATCTATGCAGTACAATGCAATAAAAATGCAAATTATCAATATTTTATACCCTAAAAATGCTTCACATAAGAAATGAATCTCTTCCACTGTGCTCCAAAACTATCTACACACACACACACACACACACACACACACACACCATTCATAAAGTATTCAGACCCTTTCTCATTAAAGTAGAACTATAGGCAAACCTTTTTTTCCATTTTGGATAGAGAAAGGGAGTTTAAAGCCCCCATCAATTTTTTCTTCCTGCCATCTGTGTCCCATTGCGGAGGATTTCCCTTCACTTACTGTTCCATTTGCCCAACAGGAAGCGAGAAGAAATCTCTGCAAATTAAAGGGAATTCCTTGGGGACCCCCAGGTCACCTGAACTAGTGTCCCATTGGAAGATTTCCCCTCTATTACTGTTCTGGAGACAACCCAAATTTTGGGATTTTCTTTTACTTTCAATGATAATCGTAAACGGGACAAATAGAGAGGGTGAATCTCCTGAATGGGGGCAAAGACAACAATTAAACCTGACAAGTATTCTAATACCCTTTGACTTTTGCTCTGATACAGTATGCATTATCAGATGTGAGTCCATTTATAAAGAGGTGTGTGCTTTTCCAAATCATGTCCAATCAATTTAATTAATCACAGGTGGACTCCAATCAAGGTGTAAAAAAATCTCAGCAATGGTCAAGAGAAATCAAGGATGGCGTCTGAGCTAAACTTCAAGTGTTGTGTCTGAATACTTATGCCAATTTGATATTTCAGTTATTACTTTCACATATTTGCAACCATTTCTAAAATTCTGATTTCACTTTGTCATTATGGCGTACAAAGTGTAAATTAATGAGAAAAAAATATGACTAGAAACAACTGTAGTATCAAGCTGCAACATACAAAATTGAAAAAAGAAGGAGGTCTGAATAGTTTATAAATGAATATAATATTGCGCAAAGTAAACCCTTAAAAAAAAGGTCAAAATAATCTTTGACCACCCCCTTGCCCTCTGACACCTGGTAGTAGAAGTCATCATGATAGGGGTCTGTACTCTGCAGTTGGAGAAGCTGGATACGACACACCCACTCCTTTTCTCGCTGAAGCATCAGACCAGCATAGGGGTCCCGCCGATGAGGTTCTGTAAGTTGGGGGCGGGAAGAACGGTCCCCTCCAGTGCCATTCATTCCTCGATGCTGACTGAAAAAAAAAAAATTAGCAATATGAATCACACTACTAAAATATTAGTTGAACTTTTTGGAAGGTGTGCGTCCATCTGGCGTAAAACACAGCATTTCATAAAATGAACATCATACTAACAGTCAAACATGGTGGTGGTAGTGTGTTGGTTTGCGGTTGCTTTGCAGCTTCAGGACCTGGACGTCTTTCCATAATTGATGGAACCATGAATGTTTCGCTCTACCAGAAAATCCTAAAGGAGAATATCTGGCCATCAGTTCGTGACCTCAAGCTCAAGCGCACTTGGGTTATGCAGCAGGGGGTTTAGGGGGCAATTACTTTTTCACATAGGGCCAGGCCAAGTTTGGACAGCTTATTTCCCTTAATAAATGAAATCCTCATTTAAAAACTGCATTTTGTATTTACTCGGGTTACATTTGTGTAATATTAAAATTTGTTTGATGATCTGAATCATCTGAGTGTGACAAATATGGAAAAAAAAAAAAAAAAAAATCAGGAAAGGGGCACTGTATAATAGCATACAGCATAACGGCACACCACTCAAGCTTGTGTGCGTAATGCTATCACAACCAAGACACACCCCAATGTATTTTGTCACACAGGATGTCTTGAGGGGACTTTGGATACACCTTGCAGGAAGTAGACTTCCTAGCCTTAAAGAAATCACCAATTCAGGGATGCCCCTGTCTGGAAAAATTTGGGCTTCAACATCCTAGCCAATAAAGCCAACAGCCATTAAGCAGGATTGTAAATGAGTCATTGACACAAAGGATCCTCAATGGAAGGGTCAAGAGGCTGACATCTGGCATCCTTCCCTATGACTGGTTCTGAAACACCTCTGGGTGTAGGTACCACTCCTTCAGGTCCAGACATTTCCAGTTAAGGAAGTCTGCCTGCCAATTGTCCAGTCCTGGAATGTACATGGCAGACAAAGCAGGAATGTAAAGCTTTAACCAACATGAGATTTAAAATCTACTTGCATTGATATAGTGAGGGCTTCCAGTTCTTCCCTTTTGATCAATGTATGCCACCGCCATTGCATTATCCTACTGAACCGGGATTTGATGACCTTCTAGCATAATGATCCAGTGCTAATGAAATAGCCAGATCACCTGACGTTCCAGAATACTGACCGGAAATTACACCCTTCCTACAATCACGTCTCCTACACAATGAATTTGCCCAAGACTCTTTGCCAGCTCAACAGCTTGGCATCTGTCATGAGGAAGGACTTCCCTGACTTAAAAGGCAGATTCCTGAGACACAAAACCAGGGACAACCTGGTCTTCAGTGCTAAATGAAACAGTCTGTTCAGGGAATGAACAGAACTGCACTATGATGAAAGCATTTTGGGTTAAGGAGGTCAGGACTGAAACTATGCAAATGAAGTTGCCTTGAAGGAGGCTACCAGCAGACACCAGACTACAGGTTCAAGTGCAAAAGTGGAAAGACTTGGTGGTTCTAAAAGGCAGGACATTTTTTACCTGCATGCATTTTCTGCATGCAGGTAAAAAATGTCCTAGTATTTGTATCACCCGTCACCTCCATAAATAAGTCCTATCTCGATTCAGCGCTGTAGAGTAGCAGCACTAATCTCTCGCCTCAAAGGACTCAGCAGGAGCCATTGGCTCCTGCTGCTGTCAATCAAATCCTTAGGAGAGAGGGCTGAGCCACGCTATGTGTGCTAATAGATGGATGCAGCCCTGCTCTGCAGCGAGCACGCAGGTACTCCCCCATAGGAAGCTGCTTCCTATAGTGGCACACCGAAAAGAGCCTAGAGCGCAGGCGGGGTCCCAAAGAGAGGTACAAGGCTGCTCTGTGCAATACAATTGCATAGAGCAGGTAAGTAGAACAGGTTTGTTAATTCTGGAAAAAAAAAAAAAACATTTTTACAACCACTTTAACCACTTCCCCGCCGCCCTATAGCAGATAAACCGCTACAGGGTGGCAGGGGTGTGCAAAATCACACATATATATATATATATGTAATTTTGCATTTCCAGGTAGGGGGCACGCATGAGCTGCATGCGTGCCCTACCCACACCGCTGTTCGCAGCCACCAATCACCAGGTCCCGGCTGGTAATTACCTGCCGGCGCCCAGTGATTACGGAGCATATCTGACAGGAAGGAAGACTGTTTTGCTTCCTGTCCCCCCCCCCCCCCTTAGTAAAACAATCCCTACACAGAGTTAACCCTTTGATCACCCCTCATATTAACACCTTCCTGTTTTTGTGCTTTTTCCTGTCAGTGCTTTTTTTTTTAGCTCTGATCACTGTATTGGTGTCACTGGAGATGACAGTGACACCAAGTCAGTTCCCCCCCAGTGTCAGAATGTCTGCTGCAATCCAGCTAAAAGTCTCTGATCGCTGCCGTTACTAGTAGAAAAATTTATTTTATAAAAATCCCAGTATCTATACCGCCATTTGTAAATGCTAAAACTTTCACGTAAACCAATTAATTAGTACAATTATTTAGTAAAAACCGCAGATCTCTCCTGCAAGGACATGCTGCTTTGTATTTCTCTACACAGCAGAGAAATACAAAGCTAGTAAAACAGAACACACAGTAAAACACACACACAGCACACAGTTAATCCTTTGATTTTCCAAAAGTTAACCCCTTCCTGCCCAGTGTCATTACTACAATGTCAGTGCTTTTTATTAGCACTGATCACTGTATTAGTACCACTGGGGATATCAGTGGCAATTAGTTCCCACCCAGTGTCAGAATGCCCGCCACAGTCCCAGAATTCTGCTATAAGTCGCCATTACTAGTATAAGAAAAAAAAAATTTTAGTATATATACTGCCATTTGTACACACTATAAAACTTTCACGTAAACCAATTAATTTTTTTTTTCTTTTTAGCAAAGACATGTAGCAGAATACATTTTGGCCTAAATTTATGACGAAATCGGCGAGCTGCTGTGTGTGTCCATGGACGCATACAGCCTGACTCAGGCACATTTGTCCCCCAAAGCAAGCAATTTGCTACAGGGCAGACACAGAACAGGAGAACGCCAACGGAAGAGGCCAGAAGAGGAGATTTGGGGCCGCTCTGTGCAATACCACGACACAGAGCAGGTACGGATAAGATGTTTATTATTTTGATTTTCAAAAAATTGCCTTTGGAAAAGCTTTAAAATAGTTCATTTGGCCCAAGCTGGTCCAAACTATTTACTTCACTAATACATAGAGCAGCTGTTAGCTGTATGCATCCTCAGCTACATACAGTATACTGGCAGCAGAACAGGAGCCTCCTGTCTCGTTTTCGGAACAAAACTGTCAGACTTAGCGCTGTCAAGCCATTCACAGGGAGCTTTGTATTCAAAGAATACAAAGCTCCATGTAAATGGCGTTTTTATAGCCATGTCCTAATTGAAAAGTTTTTCCCTTACTTCCTGTCCTGGTGAGAGGATCAGCAAGACAGGAGGTGATGACATATTTCTCTTATTTCTTGAACTTTTGGCATCAAAGGGGTGTCACTGCAGCAAACAATGAGAATAAATAGTTCCAGTGGAAAAAAGGAATTAAAATGTTTCCAAAAGTAATCAATCATTCTTGCTCTATCCAAAAAAAAAGTACTGGCTATACATGCACTAATTCAAAAAAGAAAACATTCATGCAACTACATGACAACCAGGCCAAGGACTTACTTGCGGTTTTGCTGGCGCTGATAAAGCAGGCGCCTGTGCTGCGGATGAAGATGAGTCGTGTCTGGGAGGAATGGAAGTGGCTGCCGCTGCGGTTGTTGCTGTGAAGACCTGTAAAGGCAGAATGCTAACACTCAAAATTTTTCAGTGCATCTACAGCTGCTTCCACTTTCCCTAAAATTTCTCACCTTAGATTTTTGAGATGAGCTCCCGGTGCAGCTGCGGGAGATACACCAAAGAAAGGCCGAAACCCTCCAGCTCCTGGTGCCACCATTGGACCCACATGACCCTGTAGAAGCTTGGGGGTAACACCAGCCATAGCAGGTGCATGGAGGCCAGCAGTACGGGCAAACTGGCTGGGTGACATCCGGCCTGCGGCTGCCTAAAGCATGACAAAACACAGTAATGAGAAATCTCAAAATGCCAAGATATACAAAGCAGAAGAGAAAACCAGATCATGGATTTAAGAAAAGAAAAAAAAAAAAAAAAGGGTCAGGTACATTGTATTAAGGAGACATTTTGTTTTTGGTCAAATTATATAATATATATATATATATATATATATATATATATATATATATATATATATATATATATATATATATATATATATATATATATATATACACACACACACACACTGTATATAGACACACACACTACATATCCATATCTATCCATGCACATACACACAATTTTTTTATTTATTATAGTGGAAAGTAAAACGGTAACCTTTTTTTATACTTCACTGCGACAGGGGTGGAAAGGGGTGAGGGGTGGGTAGCTTTATATTAAGATTAGATTGCTTTGAGTTGATGAGGTAAACAAATTAGCATGACTATGATCATCTCACAATTACTAAAATTCGCAATGAAATTTAATTTGTTTACATCAACAACATCATTTGATCCAGATCATCTGCCATAACTGTTGGAAGCCAAGGATTATGCTGGGAAAAATATTGTCTGGTCATAACTCCTCCCAGCCCAGCTAAGCCTCAGCACTGTAACTAGCAACGAGGAATAGACAAGAGGGAAGGAATACCCTGTATCCCGAAATGTACTCCAAGAAAAAGATTTTGCAGGTAAACCGAAATTTAATTGTACATTACAAGACCTAGAAGATTTTATATTCATGACTACTTGGGATGTCCCACAGCAATGACACAAGGGGTGGGCAACACAAAACTCAAACAGGAAACCCCATTTTACCTTTAAAGCTATCTGCGGGACCTTCTGCTGAAAATTGGCATCTGCACAGGTGAGAACGTCTACCTGGAAGAACTTTGTAAACCTGCCAACAGAAGACCAGGTAGCAGCCATACAAACTTGGACAGAAGCCCGATGCTGAATTGCCAGGAAGCACTAAACACTCCCGGTGGAAGGGGTCAGGAAAGGAGGAACCATGCCTCTGATACTACAGGCTTAAGAAATGAGCTGATGGATCCACCTAGAAAAAAGTACCCTTATCCTTGATAGAACCCTCTAGAACAAGCAGCGAATTCAACTGCCAAAACAAGGCTGCAGACTTAAGATACATTATATTGCCAAAAGTATTGGTAGGCCTGCCTTTACAAGCACGTGAACTTTAATGGCAACCAAGTCTTAGTTTGTAGAGTTCAATATTGAGTTAGCCCACCCTTTGCACCTATAACAGCTTCAACTCTTCTGGGAAGGCTGTCCACAAGGTTTAGTAGTGTGTCTATGGGAAGGTTTGACCATTCTTCCAGAAATGCATGGGTGATGTCAGGCACTGATATCGGACGAGAAGGCCTGGCTCGCAGTCTCCACTCTAACTCATCCCAAATGTGATCTATCGGGTTGAGGTCAGGACTCTATGCAGGCCAGTCAAGTTCCTCTACCCCAAACTCGCTCATCCATGTCTTTATGGACCTTGCTTTGTGCACTGGTGTGCAGTCATGTTGGAACAGGAAGGGGCCATCCCCAAACTCTTCCCACAAAGTTGGGTTCATGAAATTGTCCAAAATGTGTTGGAATGCTGACGCCTTAAGGAGTTCCCTTCACTGGAACTAAGGGCCAGCCCCAAACTTTACACTTGGCACAATGCAGTCAGGCAAGTACCGTTCTTCTGGCAACTGCCAAACCCAGACACGTCCATCTGATTGCCAGACAGAGAAGAGTGATTTGTCACTCCAGAGAACACGTCTCCACTGCTCAAAAGTCCAGTGGCGGCATGCTTTACACCACTGCATCTGCCGTTTTGCATTGCACTTGGTGATGTAAGGCTTGGACCCGTTCCATGAAGCTCTCTACGCACTGTTGTGCTAATCTGAAGGCTACACGAACTTTGGAAGTCTTTAGCAATTGACTCTGCAGACAGTGGCGACTTCTGCACACTGTGCGCTTCAGCATGCGCTGACCCCGCTCTGTCATTTTACGTGGCCTACCACTTCCTGGCTGAGTTGCTGTTGTTCCCAGTTGCTTCCACTTTGTTATAATACCACTAACAATTGACCGTGGAATATTTAGTAGCCAGGAAATGAATAAGAAGAAACAGCAGTGAGCGCTAATCCTGAAAGCGGCTAGGCACTCTAAGCAACCAATAACACTTAAAAGCAATAACATAAAAATAGTGCAGCGCTGAAAATAATGACAAAATGACAGAAAAGTAGTCCACTGAAAGTCTATGTCATATAAACGTATCCAGTGTCAGATGTGGATTCAGAATAGGTGATCCGTGTGGAAATGGCTGGAAAACGCACTCACCAGAAGTAAGACACATAAACGGAGTGTGTATATAAAGCTCATGGATCTTCAATCCAGAGGGAAGTAAAGCTGATCCGGTTACAGGAATGGTGGATCCCTCCTCCGCAGATGCAGCAACAGATCTTCCTTCACACGATTAGATGTAGAATTCCAAGACCAAGGTTCTGCAAGCAAAAGCTCCTCAAGGGAGTTTTAGGGAAGGACACCCATAGTGAAGTAGGTAATAAAAGGCAGCTTTATTCACAATAATGATATCCAATTCAAAGCAGGCAGGTATCATACAGATGTGTCAGCAAGACAACTAACCCTGGTACTTTGAATAGTGGCCGCCGGGCCTCCACGTGGCACCGGCGGCGTAGCGTCTCGACGTCCAGGCTCCTCCTTACGCGTTACGTGCGCACGCACATCTTCAGAGGTATGGTTCCATACCTCTGAAGATGTGCGTGCGCACGTAACGCGTAAGGAGGAGCCTGGACGTCGAGACGCTACGCCGCCGGTGCCACGTGGAGGCCCGGCGGCCACTATTCAAAGTACCAGGGTTAGTTGTCTTGCTGACACATCTGTATGATACCTGCCTGCTTTGAATTGGATATCATTATTGTGAATAAAGCTGCCTTTTATTACCTACTTCACTATGGGTGTCCTTCCCTAAAACTCCCTTGAGGAGCTTTTGCTTGCAGAACCTTGGTCTTGGAATTCTACATCTAATCGTGTGAAGGAAGATCTGTTGCTGCATCTGCGGAGGAGGGATCCACCATTCCTGTAACCGGATCAGCTTTACTTCCCTCTGGATTGAAGATCCATGAGCTTTATATACACACTGCGTTTATGTGTCTTACTTCTGGTGAGTGCGTTTTCTAGTAGCCAGGAAATGTCACGGATGAACTTATTTCATAGGTGACAACCAATCACGGTACCACACTGGAATTCACTGAGCTACTGAAAGCGACCCATTCTTTCACAAATGTTTGTAGAAGCAGTCTGCATGCCTAGGTGCTTGATTTTGTACACCTGTGGCCATGAAGATGATTGGAATACCTGAATCCAATGATTTGGAGGGCTGGCCCAATATTTTTGGCAATATATTGTAAATCTGAACAGCTTTAAAAACATCCAAGCAGTGAAGTACCTTCTCCTGGATGCTTAGGATTGCTGTAGAACAATAAAGATGGCAAGACAATGTTCTAACTCAGCTGGAATGAAGAAACTAACTTGGGTAGGAAGGAGGACCAAGGCCTCAGCACAACCTTATCTGGTTGGTTGGTTAACTGCTTCCCATCCACCATATAGCAGTAACACTGCTAAAGGGCATCCCACGCCGCTATGTACGGCCTCGGCTGTCAATCACCGGGTCACGGCTGGTGATTACTCGCTGGCGCCCGGTGATCGAGGATTATTACAGATGGAGGGAGAGAACTGTAAGTAAACAAATGTCTCTCCCCAGTCAGCTCCTGCACACTGCTGCTATGCATGGCTTTGCATAATAGAGCCATGCAAAGCAGTGTACTTACAGTTAAGCACACACAGCAAAACAGAACACAGTTAACCCCCAGTGTCAGAATGCCCGCCGCCATCCAGCTATAAGTCGCTGATATTACTAGTAAAAAAAATATATAAACTCCCAGTATATAATACCACCATTTGTATAACTTTCAAGTAAACAAATTAATTTATATATTCAGATTTTTTTTAAGCAAAGACAAGTAGCAGAATACATGTTGGCCTGAATTCGAAATTAGATTTTTTAAAATTTTTTTACTGGACATGTTTAACAAAAAAGTCAAAAATATAGTTTTTTTCTCAAAATTGTCAGTTTTTTTTTTTTTTTTTTTTTAAATTGCAAAAAATAAAAAAAACTGCACAGGCGATCAAATACCACCAAAAGAAAGCTCTATTTGTGGGAAAAAAGGATGTAAATTTCATTTGGGTACAGCGCTGCATGAACGCGTAATTGCCAGTTAAAGTAACGCAGCACCGGAAAACAAAAAAATGGACTGGTCAGGAAGGGGGAGGTATATGCTCTGGAGGGCAAGTGGTTAAAGAAAAGAAAAAGCTACATGCAGGAAAGCACAGCCAATTCTGAGTGTAATGACTTTTGGGGACTGTTTATTAAGAAAAAAATTATTATCCCAAAATTGAGAATCCTGGCTGACTGTCATGGGTTAACATCCTCGGTTAATTTCAAGTGACCTTCCAAAAAAAAAAAAAAAAAAAAAGTTATCCTAAACAATGAGTGGAAGAGACTTGTTTCAGAGACAATGAGAGTCAAACACCACTATTTGGACCTCTGCAGGTGAGCATATATGAGGTTTGGAAGTGACAATAGGGTAACCAAACCTGATTGTCTGAGAGCTCTCACAAAACCTTGGAAAGTGTGTAATGACAAACAGACTTCTTGAAAGGTGACAATATGCTATTAAATACTGAGGTTTAATTCCAGTCCAGTTTGTTTACCCTAATTACCCAACAATGGATGAAATTTCCTATGTCACATCGCCTTGAACTGTGTATGCAGCAGGAGGGTGAAACCTGGGACATTTCAGATACAAAGAAAAATGTGGTTTATATCACTGGAAATCTTACAAAGTTGGGTATTGCATACCACTCAACTAAGTTTGAAGTGATGAAGAAGAAGATGATTTGTGAATTGGGGTAA